TGGAGTTATAAGCACATGCCACATTCAGTTGTCTGAAAAAAAAGAAACAGGTTAAGTTGCTTGATCATTTTTCTATTGGATAGTAAGTTATTACTGAGTTATAGTTATTTTAATAGTCTCAATTCCCCCACTCTTTATCTGCTTGTTCTTTTTAAATTTGATTTTTTGCAATGCCATGGCTCAAACCCAGGACCTCAAGTGCTTGTTTTTGTAAATAGTGATTTTTTTTTTTTTTTTTTTTTTTGAGACCCGGTTTACTGTGTAGTTCAGACTGTCCTTGAACCCTTGAACTCACTGGATCCTTGTACCTCAGGCTCCTGAATGCTGGGATTCTAGGTGTATGCCACTACATGTGGCAGTTTTTGTTTTTTTGTGGTACCAGGGATCAGACTCAGGACCTTGCACTTGTGAGGCAGACATGGTGCCATTCAGATAAATCGCTGGCCCTGTCAGTTTTATTTTTTAAAGCATGATCAAAGATGTAATTTTGATCAAATTAAATTTGTTTCTTTTCTTTTATGGTTAATGCCTTTTGTATCTTGTCTTAAGAAATCCTTCCTTGACTGACTCTTAAAGGTATTCCTATATTTTGAAAGTTTCAAATTTTCATCTTAAGGTCTCTAATTCATTTAGGTTTGTGTGAGAGCTATTTATTTATTCATTCATTTATTGGTACCGGAGATCGAACTCTGGACCTTGTGCTTGTGAGGCAGGCAGCGGAACCATTGAGCTAAATCCCCGGCTGAGAGAGCTCTTTTTAAGTTAAGGGAGGAATTGATCCTGTTTTACCTGCATGATGAGTTGCTATTTTCATAAGATTATGAACTTAGGTAATGTTTTTTCTCATTCTTAAATTTTATATTTTATGTAAATGAATATAGATTATGGATTTTGTATCTGTGTGGATTTTGAGTAATGTATTTTTTAATATTTCCCTGTTTGGTGGTATGTATGTTTCATTTTCCATTTAAATCTTTGAGTTATCTAGAATATATTTCATGTTTGAGGTATAGAACCAACTGTATTTTTTCTCTTTATGGAATATGGCTTCTTTTTTTTAAACATAAAGAATTCCACAGTCAGCAAGCATGTACAGATTTCCTGTGTAATTTCTGTTTTGAGGTAGTCTTCATTATGCTAGACTCTAAATGTTGCCCAGTATATGAAAGATTGACTACTAATCTAGTGGTACTAAAAACAGACACGAGAAGGCTTAAGTGTCTGCCTATAGGTGACATGGGGCTAAGTCTTTACTGGAGCTATCCACCTGTCCAGTCTCATTCTGGTTTGAGAAGAATAGGCCCTAGAATGTGGCTTTGGGTTCCTGGCATGAAGCTGTAGTACATTCACATAAAGAAAGTATTGATGAACTTCTGTTTCTCTTATGAAGTCTTAAAAAAGTTACTATGAATAGATTCTGTCTCTTGGCAAAGCTGTGATAGCTATGATAATAATAGTGGTGATGAACTTTTTATAGTTTTCAATGATAAACAGCCACAGCATGTGTTCCATAGGTTCCCACCATTGCTTTATAAGCTGCAAAATATTCTTAACTGTATCACTTCATTCTAGTTAGCCTGCCCTTCAGGCAGATTTTGGGGGTTTTTGTTCTTTGGGAAGAGGTGGGTATGGAGATTGAATTCAAGGTCTCATTCGTGTTAATCAAGTACTGTACTCTATTGCTGAGCTACATTCCCAGCCTCTTTTTAAAAAATTATTAGGCCAGCCATGGTGGTGCATGTCTTGTACAATTCCAGCACTTAGAGGCTGAGGCAGGAGGATTGCCATGAATTGGCGGGGCCAGCCTGGGCTACATAGTGAGTTCAACGCCAGCCTGAACTAAATAGCCAGACCCTGTCTCAGGGGAGAAAAAAACCCAAAAAGAAAAGGGAAAAAAATTCCTATTTTATTTTTTTGAGACAGACTGCTAAATTGCCTAGGCTAACCTTGAGCTTGGCAAGCCTGCCTTAGCCTCTTGAGTAGCTGGAATTACAGATAAGTACTACCATACTTGGCAAGGCAAGTTTTATTAGAATTTATCTTTATTTCCCTTTTGTCTTCTTTTTACCTCCCCATTTATTTTTTTTCTGTAGGTACTTGATGTTTTAGTGGATTTGACAGGAAAGCTGGGATATTTGGGGGAGGAGGGCAGTTAAATATAGTTTTGTTTATGCGTTTGAGGGTAAATTAGTTGTAGTTCTCTCCTGAAGGTGTAGTTAAGGATTTTTATTGGAAAGTTAAATGACTGAGGACTGTAGAAAACAAAAATACTGAAATCATGGACAGCTTTTCTTCTGTAGAACTCTATAAAATTAGCTTTACCTATGTAATGTTTTTCAGAATTTAAAGTATATAATGTACTTTGATAATTGATTGTAGGATTGTTTATGCTACATAGTTGAATACATGGATAGTCTTTTTTTTTTTTGGTACCAGGGATCAAACTCAGACCCTTGCACTTTCAAGGCAGGCTGTGTGTGGAACCACTGAGCCAAGTGCCTGACCCTGTGGACAGATTGTTAATGATACAGCTCTTTTAGCAAGAATATTTTCTTATAGGCTCACTTGTCACATTTGTAACAGATTTTAAGATCACCTTTCAGCAAAGTCAGATTCAACCTGTATCATATGAAAAGGTGGCATATTGATAAGACTAGTAATTGTTTAAATGTACAAAATGTACACCTAGTTTTTAGGGCTAAGAAGGGTAAGAAAGCTTAAAGTAGTGATTTTTTGAGAGGCCTAGATAGGCTTATTGAGGAGAGTTAAAATATACATTCAGAAGGCAGTGTAGGCTCTCCAGTGGGGAAGCACTTAAAATAGTAATTTTGTTTTGTTTTGGAGAAAGGGTCTTGCGCTGCAGTTCAAGCTGGTCTTCAACTCACTATGTAGTCCAGGCTGGTCTCGAACTTGTGATGATCCCCCTGCCTCAGCCTCCCAAATGCTGGAATTACAGGCATGTGCCACCCGTGCCTGGCTAAAGTGATAATTTTAAATTGGATAAGCCAGGCTTGGTGGTGCATGCCTGTAATCCCGGGATTTGGGAGGCCGGGGCAGGAGCATTGCTGTGAGTTCAGGGCTATGCAGGGCTCCATAGTGAGTTCAAAGCCAGCCTAAACTATATAATGAAACCCTGTCTCAAAAAACAAAATTTAAACTGGATAAAAAGTTTATTCTTTTAAACTTTTTTTTTTAACTCAGAGAGGATACTTATTACATAAACCAGAAATAGCCTAAGTAAATTTTGTGGTGCTAAGACAGTGAACTAATTTGCAGTCAAAAAAGTGATGTAGGTTAACAGTGATGTAGGTTAATACTTAGACTGTCATGTGGTTAAGTATACCAAGCACTCACTAAAAGTTTCCAGAGGGAATAATTATTTCCAATAGTACCTTTGATAACTGGGAAGCAGAGTAGGGTAGTGGTGCCCTGTTGAACAGACAGGAGGTTGTGACACTCATGAAAACGAGAGCTTGGCCCTCTTGCCTTAGCCCTTCAGAGCTATCATGGACAGAGCAGTGCAGGGCTGCTGACCCAGCTGCACACTTATAACCACAAAGCTGTTACTCTTCAGGTTTGGATTTAGTCTTGGGTTTGCTCAGAAATTTTTTAAGATACCAAATTGTAGAATTGGCTTTTAATTGTTAGATTTTCAGTTTCTTATCATTTGTGCTTCTGACATGTAAGAAAACTATAATTCCTTGCCTTTACCTGGGAAATACCTAAGAGTTAAACAGGTATTTATTATTCATAAATTAGACATTCCTAATGGTAAGTAAATACATATCTCAGCCACTCAAGTTATGCTTGACCCTCTTGGGTAGCATTGAAGGTTGCACTGTGTATTGATCCTGTAAAGCATCCATAGGTCTTGCGATGTAGACCAGGCTTGCTTCAAAATTGAGATGATCCTCCTGCCTCATCCTCTCATAAGTGCTGGGATTATAGGTAGGTGCTTCCACATCTAGCTGAAAAGTAATTTTATCATTTGAAATAGAATAAATGTTTTGCCACTTTTTTTTTTTTTTTTTTTTTGCCCCT